TCGCCATAGATTCAGTATGACTGGGGTTGCACGTGGTATCATTGCTATCTCTGTAATAGCTTTCGTTCGTAGGCAATCTATCTGTGCTCACCAGGTCAACTGAAATGTGTTGTGCATGTGTTTTGTGTGTGTAAACATCAGTGTAACTTACTGTGTGAAAGGCTAAAATTCACATACATGACCTAATTTAAACTACGTTAAACTAATTGATGTTTGCCCTAGACAAGGCATAGATTCTAGCAATGTAGAAAATATTTATGTTTAGACGTTAAGGTACGCAATTCCATCGTAGCTGATTATCTCTAACACAACCTTAGCGCTAATAACGTGTGCTTTGAAACACCGTCGTGATGGATGCAGGGTTCAACAATCTAGAAGAATTAGACTTCTTGGGAACCCCAAAAAATGTAATAAAATCCAACAAATCTTGGGGAGATATTATTACCCTATATCTGCAACTAGTTAAACAAGCTACCAGAATGAATCACACAGGAAGTAGAGGGACACTGGCAGAGATTTCGGACACTGGCTTTTTAAAGTATAGAACGTTCTTTTTCACTAGAGAACAGGACCACACTATCGAGGCCTATCCCCCACAACGTTCCGTTGCGCCCAGAGCGAGCTCGAAGCTTTTCAGCGGCTTCGCCCAGTTGTTTTAGTGATCATCTGCGCTCCTTTTCTCGCAAGCCCGGCTGCTGTAGAACATTGTACATGGAAGTGGAGATAAGACCTCTTGCGCCTTCTTCGACGGTGAAGACTTTTTTTTTTCAATCGTACGCTTCGTCTCTCCTCGGACCAGCCGCGTGATCACAGTACTTCTCCAGCTTGTACATGTGATTTGCATCCATTCGCGACTCATACGGAAGGGGTCAGCTCAATCAGGATAATCTGGCGAAATTTGTCAGAGGCCAGTTAAGTTACGGGATCAGTAGGTGTGATGTTAGTGTATCATCACGTATGAACGAGTTGACCCTCAGTCAAACTCAGAGTGAGATCGGGCAGTTTTATAACGGAATAAACTGTCCAGACTGAGTTGGGCTAAGCCCTACACCCGCCCAGTAACACGAGTTGCATCGTGTCAGAGATTATTGCTAGAGAGGAACAAAAGGCTTGGAAATAGCTTGTTCAGGGGAGACACGTGTTTAGGACCTGGACTCGACGGTTGTGGGACTTTGATTGTAAATGTATCTTCAATTACAGACGCTTAGCGTAGTTTATATTAGTGATGATAAGCACGAATAGTATCTATGGTTAAGCTTTAGACATATTGTGTTTCTATACGGTGTTCTGACAAGATTGTTAATCTGTAACACTTCTTGCATAGTAGAAGTCTTTCATGCAGAATCTGTTGGGCAGGAAGGTAGTGTTGACATGCATTGTTGGTGACGTTAACACCTGTACTCCGTAGGGGTGTGTTTTAAGTGTGTCCTGGGGTAGTTAAGTCTGTTAGATGACCTACCCAACGAACCAGAGTAAGTAGATAATAAAGTAAGTCTCTTACCAAATTTACTCTAAGCTATTAAAGTAATTACAATCGGTTTGTTAAATTGAAATCCCTTTTCTAGACCACTTCCTTAAATACTGGAGTATCTTAAGGCTCGATTCTCCTCCCTCTGTCATTTTGTATTTACATAAATGATCTTCGTTTGCACCTGTCAAACTTGTAATACACTAGAGTCGTCATAATAACAGGAATGAAATAATGTTCTTAAATGGAGCTTTGCATTCCATATGCTAATTAATGTTTATAAAACAAAATATTTGTTAAAAACGACTAGATACAAACTATGTAGGTAACATTCACATAGAACTCTTCAGCTCTACACTGTGAAGACTCAAGTAGAACATTTAACTGAACACAAAGCACTAGGGTTGGCCATTGATCAAAATCTAACCCATGTGCAAGTTCCTGTGAAACAAAGGGCTAAACAAGCAAATCAACTTTCAAACATAAAAATAAAAATTCCTTGATGAAAATACAAGAAAGATATTCTAAACGTTTCACATCTAGACATATATAGACTATTGCTCTAAAATATGGGATGGCTGTGGCAATTCTGTCATCAAGCGGCTCATGTCCCTACAAAAGCGCTCCGATCCCTTCATAAGTAATAATTATGGGACGGTCAGTTCAAACACATATAAATGTCTTATGCAACTACAGCTCAGCAAACGTCTACTTTCCAATAAGGTAAAGTTTATTCATGAAATATCATCCCAAAAAGGTAAAGTTTATTCATGAAATATCATCCCAAAAAGGTAAAGTTTATTCATGAAATATCATCCCAAAAAGGTAAAGTTTATTCATGAAATATCGTCCCAAAAAGGTAAAGTTTATTCATGAAATATCGTCCCAAAAAGGTAAAGTTTATTCATGAAATATCATCCCAAAAAGGTAAAGTTTATTCATGAAATATCATCCCAAAAAGGTAAAGTTTATTCATGAAATATCATCCCAAAAAGGTAAAGTTTATTCATGAAATATCATCCCAAAAAGGTAAAGTTTATTCATGAAATATCGTCCCAAAAAGGTAAAGTTTATTCATGAAATATCATCCCAAAAAGGTAAAGTTTATTCATGAAATATCATCCCAAAAAGGTAAAGTTTATTCATGAAATATCATCCCAAAAAGGTAAAGTTTATTCATGAAATATCGTCCCAAAAAGGTAAAGTTTATTCATGAAATATCATCCCAAAAAGGTAAAGTTTATTCATGAAATATCGTCCCAAAAAGGTAAAGTTTATTCATGAAATATCATCCCAAAAAGGTAAAGTTTATTCATGAAATATCATCCCAAAAAGGTAAAGTTTATTCATGAAATATCATCCCAAAAAGGTAAAGTTTATTCATGAAATATCATCCCAAAAAGGTAAAGTTTATTCATGAAATATCATCCCAAAAAGCTCCAAGTTTCTTACGGCTGTTATTTAAATATGGTGGAATGTCTAGTAAACGTCTAAACATTTTACATATAGCTAACCTAAGGCTAGACCTAAACAAAACAAATTCAGCGTACACCGCTGCTCAATTGTGGAACCATCTTCCACAAGAAATCAAGTTGACCTCAAGTCCTTACACATAATGTTGGAAACTTCGAATATTATCTGAGCAGAGATTACGTGCCCCGATAAGAGAAAAGGGATTTGAGAAAAAAAGCGCATATCTTCAACGTATCTGTTACAACTACTACGGTTTACTGTAGTTAGAAGTGTGCACATTCCAGTAAAAGGTAAAGTAAAGGACCATTTTACACGCCTTTAGTCGTATTGGGTATATAGGGCTAGACCTATTTTTATAGACCAAACGGCACTTGGTGAGTGATAGGTTCACGCCAGCCCCTTTACTTCCCAGGACTGTACCTGGTACCCACTTCAGGCTGGGTCGGTCTGAGAGCCAAGGACCCGAACTCACGACCTTCCGACCCAGAGGCTAGCTTCTAGCCGCTAGACCACGGAGGATTCCGCGCGTTCCAGTGCTTGTCTTTAATACTGTGATGCTGTTGATAATGTTTACGGAGGACCATTTAGCCGAGCAGTTACAATGTCGGGAGACCCAAGTTCGACCCCCGGTAAGGTGGAGTTGGTTTTGTTAGAGGCAAAATTAAACTTCCCAACCTGCACAGTCTGTGGCGACAGCACTAGCCATGCGGCCCAAAATCTTCAGGCTCAAGCCGCCCCCGCCCCCTGTCTACACCGCCCTAAAACGTGGTAAAACAGACAGTATTGACAGTGACAGATGATGTTCACTATTACCGGATGTATACATGAAATGATGTATGAAAGAAAGGAGATCTCTTCTTCTTCTTAAAGTCCATGCATTGTTGCGTTGGTAGTTATGTCTATCCGCAACCTTCTGTCTCGTGTACTTTCAATCAACTCATGATCTTTCATGTCATGATGTCTAACTGTCCAGAACCTGTTCTTTCGGTTTCCCTGTGCCACTTCTCCCTTCCAGCTTCCCTACCGTCACGATGCACTCAAATTTCGTCCTTCTCATCACATGACCAAAGTATGTAGATTTTCTTTTTCTGATGGGGGAGACTAGAAGAGCAGAATGTTAGACTGGCCAGCAGGCCCAATTCTCCACCTTTGAAAATAAAGTTGGTTCGTTCGTTGGTACATCTGGATAATCTTTCTTTGTCAGTTGAGACGAGAAAGAGAAATATTAAAAGCTATATAAATCCTACCCTAATTAACGGAAGGGAATCACAGACAATTGGTGGATTAGTGGAAAATTATTTGGAAGCTTCAGAGATGTGGTTTTATAGACAAATAATGAGAATACCTTAGACAGATAAAAAGAGTTATAAAGACGTCTTGCAAGAAGTGACTCACGAATAGAACTGATTGCCAACATCAAAAGGAGATAATTTACATTCTTTGGACATGTTATGAGAAGGAGAGAACTAGAGTACATCCTGATAGTTGGAAAGTTAGGGGGAAGAGAGGCAGATAGAAACCGAGAGAGAAGACACTGGACAGTTTGGCAATGCACGGAAGATCATATGCCTCAGAGCATTTTCCTGGAGTAAAGACAACTGAATGGTTCAAGTAGTGAACGGTGTCGCTATGGCAAATGTCAGCCAATCAGAGGTTGATTTTTGGAGTAGGCCTTGTGGTAAGGATAGTGTGGTGGCGTTGGCTCCGATTTTGTTGGGCTCTAATCTGTATCGAGGATGACCTTTTTTCTCTCTGAAAGTAAAGGCCGAGGCAGCAGGTGTGACTACATTACCCATTGATTGTCAAAGGGTTATTAATAATATTGATAAGGGACCTTTCCTTTGGTATTCACAACACAAAGTACGACTGATTACGACTCACATTATGAGAAGTACTCACTATGCCACATTGAAATACCTACACAACACAAAGTACGACTGATTACGACTCACATTATGAGAAGTACTCACTATGCCACATTGAAATACCTACACAACACAAAGTACGACTGGTTACGACTCACATTATGAGAAGTACTCACTATGCCAGATTGAAATACCTACAGTATTGACAGCCAGGACCAAAATATCCAGGACTGCAGAGTCCATTATTAGGGCACTCCCCTCGTCTACCACAGATCAGGCTTTTCAAGCACTGGCACTTAAACATGCACCTCTCCCCAAACCAGCCTCTCTCACAAGCTGTGATTATTGTAGATGAGAATCATTGGATTAGATTCAACGGAGTCGTACAAGGCTAACGCAAACAACAAATTGTAATAAACTGAATAGCAATAATAGAAGAAAGACGTTGAAACAGAAGGACACACCCAACAACATTAAAATCAAAACGTTTTAGTAACAAGGATACAACTTTTCGACCCCTGATGGCAACAGGGCTTCGCGCGGGGGGGGGGAGGTATTTCTATTAAAACCAATGGACAACTAGGCAACCCCTTCACCTCCCCTCCCAAAAAGTGTCATCATTAGCCAGGTCTAGCGTTCTGTTGAGCTGTCAGCTCATCAAGATGAACGAACCTCTTGTCTTACAATGCGATGGATACAACTGTGCGGTAATTTTTTTTTTTTTTCTAAACCAATTGTAGGTCTTGGGAGAAGTGGCTCATACGCTAGCTGGTCTCTGCCTCAGCAAAGACCATCGGGCGCGCACAAGTCTGTTACGTGTCACAATAGGGAACAAAATTATGAAGTCCGCAGACGATCAGACGACAGATGATTTTTAAACCCCAATAAAATCAACGAGGTAAGAAAACAACAGTCAAATGGGGAGCCAAATCAAACATTTTATGAAAACATCAAGAAGAGTATGAAAAGATAGCTAAAACAATACAATACAGAAACTGGTAAAAACTTTTCATGACCCTGGGGTAAAACAACCGTTTAACCATACATGATAACATGATTCTAAACTTTCCGCTCAATGTCTGGGACTTCAGTATTATGAGTTTTGTTCAATGATTATAACAAATCGTGTTAGATTCAGCTATCTTGCTGATAATCGTAATTAGGTTCTTAAACTTGTCTTCCTCCATTTAAAACAGTTCTAACTACCAGGGCGAAAACAATAACTCATTCACTGCTGTTAAATCTTGCTCCGGTGATCAATCCAGACCTTAAAAATCGTATTTTATTTTAATAAAATATTTATGTACTTAACATGTTCATATTTCTACCATTCTTTTTCCATACTCCTTCTTACTTATGTGGTTTCGGTAATGTACCCTCTTTCATATCCATAAATTCCTTTTTGAAGCTAACTGTGTTGGCGTGTCGGTTGATATTTTTCCAGTCCAAGTTTGTGAAGTGTTTAGCACTCCTTGGATAAAGGTTTTGATGGAAACGTTCGGCTAGATTCGAGCGCCTCCTTTATCTTCCATCCGTTGAGGTTTCTGGTCAAATTGTATGTTATTTAACACGTAATGTATGGCTAGAAATGTTTTGGCATGTTATCTACCTCGCAAATAACTATTATACAACAAACATGTTCCCACATCTGTGTCAGTAGTGTCAGTAGTGAGCACCACACGATTTTGTGACAGTGGTAGACCGAAAACAGAGAGAGGTGAAGACAGACAGAAAACACATGAGCGATAGATGTAGAAGACAAAAACACTCATAAGTGATGGTCAAGCAGACAGCTCTGGGATGTGATGAACAACAGACAGCTCTGGGATGTGATGACCAACAGACAGCTCTAGGATGTGATGACCAACAGACAGCTCTAGGATGTGATGACCAATAGACAGCTCTAGGATGTGATGACCAACAGACAGCTCTAGGATGTGATGACCAACAGACAGCTCTGGGATGTGATGACCAACAGACAGCTCTGGGATGTGATGACCAACAGACAGCTCTAGGATGTGATGACCAACAGACAGCTCTAGGATGTGATGACCAACAGACAGCTCTAGGATGTGATGACCAACAGACAGCTCTAGGATGTGATGACCAACAGACAGCTCTAGGATGTGATGACCAACAGACAGCTCTGGGATGTGATGACCAACAGACAGCTCTGGGATGTGATGACCAACAGACAGCTCTAGGATATGATGACCAACAGTCAGCTCTAGGATATGATGACCAACAGACAGCTCTGGGATGTGATGACCAACAGACAGCTCTGGGAAGTGATGACCAACAGACAGCACTGGGATGTGATGACCAACAGACAGCTCTAGGATGTGATGACCAACAGACAGCTCTACGATATGATGACCAACAGACAGCTCTACGATATGATGACCAACAGACAGCTCTACGATATGATGACCAACAGACAGCTCTAGGATGTGATGACCAACAGACAGCTCTACGATATGAGGACCAACAGACAGCTCTACGATATGATGACTAACAGACAGCTCTAGGATGTGATGACCAACAGACAGCTCTAGGATGTGATGACCAACAGACAGCTCTAGGATGTGATGACCAACAGACAGCTCTAGGATGTGATGACCAACACACAGCTCTACGATATGATGACCAACAGACAGCTCTACGATATGATGACCAACAGACAGCTCTACGATATGATGACCAACAGACAGCTCTACGATATGATGACCAGCAGACAGCTGTACGATATGATGACCAACAGACAGCTCTAGGATGTGATGACCAACAGACAGCTCTAGGATGTGATGACCAACAGACAGCTCTAGGATGTGATGACCAACAGACAGCTCTAGGATGTGATGACCAACAGACAGCTCTAGGATGTGATGACCAACAGACAACTCTAGGATGTGATGATCAACAGTCAGCTTTAGGATGTGATGATCAACAGTCAGCTTCAGGATGTGATGACCAACAGACAGCTTTAGGATGTGATGATCAACAGACAGCTTCAGGATGTGATGATCAACAGACAGCTCTAGGATGTGATGATCAACAGACAGCTTCAGGATGTGATGACCAACAGACAGCTATGGGATGTGATGACCAACAGACCGCTCTAGGATGTGATGATCAACAGTCAGCTTCAGGATGTGATGACCAACAGACAGCTTTAGGATGTGATGATCAACAGACGGCTTCAGGATGTGATGATCAACAGACAGCTCAAGGATGTGATGATCAACAGTCAGCTTCAGGATGTGATGATCAACAGACAGCTCTAGGATGTGATGACCAACAGACAGCTCTGGGATGTGATGACCAACAGACAGCTCTAGGATGTGATGACCAACAGACAGCTCTAGGATGTGATGATCAACAGTCAGTTTCAGGATGTGATGACCAACAGACAGCTTTAGGATGTGATGATCAACAGACAGCTTCAGGGTGTGATGATCAACAGACAGCTCTAGGATGTGATGATCAACAGACAGCTTCAGGATGTGATGATCAACAGACAGCTTCAGGATGTGATGATTAACAGACAGCTTTAGGATGTGATGATCAACAGTCAGCTTCAGGATGTGATGATCAACAGACAGCTTCAGGATGTGATGATCAACAGACAGCTCTAGGATGTGATGACCAACAGACAGCACTAGGATGTGATGACCAACAGACATCTATAGGATGTGATGACCAACAGACAGCTCTAGGATGTGATGACCAACAGACAGCTCTAGGATGTGATGACCAACAGACAGCTCTAGGATATGATGACCAACAGACAGCTCTAGGATGTGATGACCAACAGACAGCTCTAGGATGTGATGACCAACAGACAGCTCTAGGATATGATGACCAACAGACAGCACTGGGATGTGATGACCAACAGACAGCTCTAGGATGTGATGACCAACAGACAGCTCTAGGATGTGATGACCAACAGACAGCTCTAGGATGTGATGACCAACAGACAGCTCTAGGATATGATGACCAACAGACAGCTCTAGGATGCGATGACCAACATACAGCTCTAGGATGTGATGACCAACAGACAGCTCTACGATATGATGACCAACAGACAGCTCTAGGATGTGATGACCAACAGACAGCTCTGGAATGTGATGACCAACAGACAGCTCTAGGAAGTGATGACCAACAGACAACTCTAGGCGATGACCAACAGACAGCTCTGGGAAGTGATGACCAACAGACAGCTCTAGGTGATGACCAACAGACAGCTCTAGGTGATGACCAACAAATAGCTCTAGGTGATGACCAACAGACAGCTCTAGGATGTGATGACCAACAGACAGCACTGGGATGTGATGACCAACAGACAGCTCTAGGTGATGACCAACAGACAGCTCTAGGTGATGACCAACAGACAGCTCTAGGATGTGATGACCAACAGACAGCTCTGGGATATGATGACCAACAGACAGCTCTAGGATGTGATGACCAACAGACAGCTCTGCGATGTGATGACCAACAGACAGCTCTGCGATGTGATGACCAACAGACAGCTCTAGGATATGATGACCAACAGACAGCTCTAGGATGTGATGACCAACAGACAGCTCTGGGATGTGATGACCAACAGACAGCTCTGCGATGTGATGACCAACAGACAGCTCTAGGATGTGATGACCAACAGACAGCTCTAGGATGTGATGACCAACAGACAGCTCTAGGATGTGATGACCAACATACAGCTCTAGGATGTGATGACCAACATACAGCTCTAGGATGTGATGACCAACAGACAGCTCTGCGATGTGATGACCAACAGACAGCTCTAGGAAATGATGACCAACAGACAGCACATGAATGTCTTACTATCAGGCTCCACTACAGGGGTCATGAGCCAGACCAAGAGGGCAGAGGTCAGTATGGGGTGACAGTTCATCTGTGCTTCTCTGTTCTTCTAGTCTGATAGTAAAACGTAAAGTAAAGGTCTCTTTTCTGCGCCTTTAAGCGTATGGGGTATATAGGGCTAGAACTCTTTTTTAAAGACTGATCGGCACAAGATGGGTGATGTGGTCAGCATCACGCCGGCCGCCTTCACTTTCCGGGACTGCACCCGGTACCCACTCAAGGCTGGGTCGACCCGAGAGTCAAAGTCATTTTTGAAAAATGTCCGGCTTCGCCAGGAAGCGAACCCACGACCTTCCGATCCGCATGCGAGCGTCTAGTCGCTACGCCACGGGACTCACACAGTCTGATAAGTACACGTGTTGATAACATTAGCCATGACGACATTGCAAAACTGATTAATTTTTTTTTATTTATGTTTCAGTCATATGGATTATGAGTTGGTTTATCTGTATGCCACTCCAGACACGCCCATATTGTGTCTTAACATATTTATCAACGTACTGCCGTTAATGGTACAAGGCCTCTATTGGTTGACTCTCTTATTACTCTCAAATATACATACATTACACACATATATATATATATATATACGTGTGTGTGTGTGTCGGCGTCTGTGGCTTAGGCGTTGGGAACGCGCTTGCTAATGCCGGGGTCCAAGCTTCCGTCACAGCTGCGGAAGATTTGTCTTGCGTTCGTTTCCACGGTGTTACTAAGAGCTGACAGTTGCAATGGCAAACGTAAATTAGGTCTAAAAAACTACAACAGTCCCAAAAATGCTGGGGTTGGTACTGCAACGTTCTGTAAAGAATACGCAACTATATATATATATATATATATATATATATATATACATAATGCATGTGTGTGTGTGAGTGTGTCTGTGTGTGATCTAATACTTCTGTTTTGTTTATGTTTATCTCACGACCATACATTTAATTACACGTGAATGTAGTACTCCAATTCGGCTACTATTTTTCTTGCAACCATTGTTGATAATACGGACAATATTGTTGCTGCTGATGTGGTGGCGTGGTGGTCGTGATGATATCTGGATCGAAATGTTCAGTTTTAACATGTGTGTGTCTTCCCTGTTGTATATTTATGTTTTATATGTATATTTCTGCCAGAAAGGCCAGCACGTGACCATAACCAATCAACACCATTATTTCTGTAAGAAAACAAAACATGGATTAGATGGTCACTTAGACAAATGTTTCTCCTATGTTAGTTAGTCTCTCCTCTTGACCCCAGGGCGGCTCATGGGACAGAGGTCAAAGCTCTACATGTCAGGCGGTTCGTTGCCATCGGTTTTAGGTCTTTCCCGTTTTGTTTTCTCTTCCGGTATCCGTATATGGGCTTGATGGCGGAGACCAAGTATTCCTACTTGATAGACTAATTAAGCGAGGGGTCTTTTTACATTTTGAACTCATGGCCGATGTAGTTCCAGCGGTGCTTTCTTATAAAAGTGGACACTTGCTTGGTCGCTTGTCTTATTTGCGTATCAGATCCAAAATCTGTCCACTGGACTATATATATATATCTGTGTGTGTGTGTGTGTGTGTGTGTTTCTTGTTAAACTAGAAAATATTAACTCATTAGTAATCGACCGGCAATGCACTTCCCCTGGGTTCCGAAATCTACATCACGTAGCTGAATGAATTAATAAATGAACAGATGAATCAAGAATTTACATCCCTTCACTCGGGGCATTCCTACACGTGCTCTGTCTCCTTCTTCAGTGGCCAGCGACGTGTTGATATGCCAACAGAACATGTGGCAACCTTATTAAAAGTCCGCGCAAGAAACATGCAAGTATGTCGGTGTGTGTGTGTGTATTTAGGTATGTATGCAAGTATGTATGTATGTATGTATGTATGTACGTGTGTAAAGATGTAGGTGTATGTATAGATGTGTGTATGTATGTTTGTGTATGTATGTATGCATGTGAGTGTAAGTATGTGGGTGTATGTGTGTGTATTTAGATATGTATGCAAGTATTATGTGTGTAAAGATGTAGGTGTATGTATAGATGTGTGTATGTATGCATGTGTGTGTATGTATGTATATATTCATGTGAGTGTAACTGTGTGGTTGTGGGCGTATGTGGGTGTCTGTAATGTGATTGTACGTGTGTGTATGCATGCATATATGTGTAGGTGTGTATGTATGGAATGAATGTGTGTGTGCATGTATGTCAATATGTGTATGTGTGTTCTTTTCTGTTTGTGTATGTATGTAGATGCGTGTTTGTATGTATTAGGTATGTCTGTATATGAATGTGCATGTATGAGAATGAAAGACGTGTGAGTGAGTGTGTAAGATTGTGTACACATGATGTGTGTATGCATTATTCTATAATGCATATTTCTTTATTATATCTATAACATGCATTATTGATAACAGGCATTGGTACTCTGAAAAATGAGTGCTTAGAAGAGCCGAATGTCAGACGGGCCTGCGTGCCCAATTTGTAACCCTTTGAAAATAAAGTTTGTTCGTTCGTTCGTTCCGCCTGTGTGTGACCCGCGGTGTTGCATATCAACCAGACGCGGTGCTCGCCCTTCGCTCAGTTAGTCTATCAAGAATGAATACTTGGTCTGTTCTGTTGCACAGAGAGCCTTTACCGACAGCTTTATGATGACGCAATTCATCATCCAGAGAGCGGCTGCATCCAATCTATCTGCTTGCTCATTACCCTGCACACCCGAATGTCCTGGACAGAAAATCCAAGATTTGCTACTAATCAGCGTTTTACTAAGGGAAGCAGGTGTCACTCTAGGCGTAGTAAGTCAATTTCTCATTTCTGAAGAATGCTCTGTGAGGTCGTTACAATGACCACATGTTGAGCTGCGCTGCTCTCAGGCCATCGGAAAGCTGCCGTTACAGCCTCCACCTCCATCCTTATACTGGATGTTGTGACGTTATAGGAGCCCGGCACAGCTGACTGCGCAGCAACTGGGTGACGAACTCCTTGTGGTTCGGGCTCACGCACGGGGGGTAGACAGAGAAGCCACGTTTCTTCCAGATTTATGATATCTCTCATGGAATCAAGGCCAAAGGGTTGCGATATTTATAGTACCGAGCAAAAGATTTAACAACTCATGGGTTCAGGATATTTAAAAAAAAATGACGTTAAAGGTGGTACTCTCGTTTTTAAACACTGCCCATCAACATTTGCAATAAAACCTCACCCACTCTTTATAATCTCTGAACACAGACCTGTCTGTGCATGTAATGACGACTTCTGTGTGTGAATTTTCACTGGTCAGCTTTTGCATCGATGCCTCTGTTTCACCAGCGGCCCACTCGCGGGACCTTCAGTGCAATGTAGCCATCACTTCATATGGGTCTGTATCCCATCCCTGGGCGTCAGCTATCTTGTCAGTAGCACAAACACTTCTACTAGTGACCTATGCATGTGCAGTCCACAAGCTACCTCTTTTCAGCTCATGCCCTATGTCCTCATGTCCTTTTAAGGCCTCATGTCCCCCCCCTCCAAGGCCTCATGTCCCTTGCAGTTATGTCCTCCAAGGCCTCATGTCCCTTGCCCTTATGTCCTCCAAGGCCTCATGTCTCTTGCCCTCATGTCTCACAAGGTCTAATATCCCCCAAGGCCTCATGTCTCCTGCCCTCATGTCTCACAAGGCCTCATATCCCCCAAGGCCTCATGTCTCCTGCCCTCATGTCTCACAAGGCCTCATATCCCCCAAGGCCTCATGTCTCCTGCCCTCATGTCTCACAAGGCCTCGTGTCTCTTGCCCTCATGTCTCACAAGGCCTCATATCCCCCAAGGCCTGATGTCTTTTGCCCTCATGTCTCACAAGGCCTCATGTCCTTTGCCCTTATGTCCTATAAGGCCTCATGTCCCTTGCCCTTATATCCTCCAAGGCCTCATGTCTCTTGCCCTCATGTCTCACAAGGCCTCATATCCCCCTAGGCCTCATGTCCCTCCAAGGCCCCATGTCCCCAAGGCCTCATGCCCTATGCCCTCATGTCCCCGAGGCCTCATGTCCTCTAAGGCCTCATGTCCCTCCAAGGCCTCATGTCCCTCCAAGGCCTCATGTCCCTCCAAGGCCTCATGTCCTCCAAGGCCTCATGTCCCTCCAAGGCCTCATGTCCCTCCAAGGCCTCATGCCCTATGCCCTCATATCCCCCAAGGCCTCATGTCCCCAAGGCCTCATGTCCCTCCAAGGCCTCATGTCCTCCAAGGCCTCATGTCCCTCCAAGGCCTCATGTCCCTCCAAGGCCTCATGCCCTATGCCTTCATATCCCCCAAGGCCTCATGTCCCCAAGGCCTCATGCCCTATGCCCTCATGTCCCCCAAGGCCTCATGCCCTATGCCCTTATGTCCCCAAGGCCTCATGCCCTATGCCCTCATGTCCCCAAGGCCTCATGCCCTATGCCCCCATGTCCCTCCAAGGCCTCATGTCCTATGCTCTCATGTCCCTCCAAGGCCTCATGCCCTATGCCCTCATATCCCCCAAGGCCTCATGTCCCCAAGGCCTCATGCCCTATGCCCTCATGTCCCTCCAAGGCCTCATGCCCTATGCCCTCATGTCTCCCAAGGCCTCATGTCCCTCCAAGGCCTCATGCCCTATGCCCTCATGTCCCTCCAAGGCCTCATGCCCTATGCCCTCATGTCCCTCCAAGGCCTCATGTCCCCCAAGGCCTCATGCCCTATGCCCTCATGTCCCTCCAAGGCCTCATGTCCCCCAAGGCCTCATGCCCTATGCCCTCATGTCCCTCTAAGGCCTCATGTCCCCCAAGGCCTCATGCCCTATGCCCTAATGTCCCTCCAAGGCCTCATGCCCTATGCCCTCATGTCCCCCAAGGCCTAATGTCCCTCCAAGGCCTCATGCCCTATGCCCTCATGTCCCTCTAAGGCCTCATGTCCCCCAAGGCCTCATGCCCTATGCCCTCATGTCCCTCCAAGGCCTCATGTCCCCCAAGGCCCCATGCCCTATGCCCTTATGTCCCTCCAAGGCCTCATGCCCTATGCCCTCATGTCCCCCAAGGCCTCATGTCCCTCCAAGGCCTCATGCCCTATGCCCTCATGTCCCTCCAAGGCCTCATGTCCTATGCCCTATGTCCCTCCAAGGCCTCATGCCCTATGCCCTCATGTCCCCCAAGGCCTCATGTCCCCCCAAGGCCTCATGCCCTATGCCCTTATGTCCCTCCAAGGCCTCATGCCCTATGCCCTCATGTCCCTCCAAGGCCTCATGCCCTATGCCCTCATGTCTCTCCAAGGCCTCATGCCCTATGCCCTCATGTCCCCCAAGGCCTCATGTCCCTCCAAGGCCTCATGCCCTATGCCCTCATGTCCCTCCAAGGCCTCATGCCCTATGCCCTCATGTCCCTCCAAGGCCTCATGCCCTATGCCCTCATGTCCCTCCAAGGCCTCATGTCCCCCAAGGCCTCATGCCCTATGCCCTCATGTCCCTCCAAGGCCTCATGTCCCCCAAGGCCTCATGCCCTATGCCCTCATGTCCCTCCAAGGCCTCATGTCCTATGCCCTCATATCCCCCAAGGCCTCATGTCCCTCCAAGGCCTCATTCCCTATGCCCTCATATCACTCAAGGCCTCATGCCCTATGCCCTCATGTCCCTCTAAGGCCTCACGCCCTATGCCCTCATGTCCCTCCAAGGCCTCATGTGGAAGATAGTCTCTGTCTGTTGCGACTTTAATTAATACACATTGTCGACTGTAACACCTTGTCTCTTGCATCTACGTACGGCGATGCAAGTATGTGCCGCATGCATGCAATTGGCGTTTCCCGTGTGCATCCCAAAATGATTCGGACCTAGGTACAAACGTTATCTGCTTCAGCACACTAAAAGAAGAAATTACATCTAGAATACCAGTCTGAACATAAAGTATACCATGCCTGTCAACATCTGCTAAACCAAATGCAACATCTCATAACCCCAAGATCGCACTATATCAACGCTGTAAGACCATTAGTCGTTTACTGTTTATGAAACCTGAGGGACGAACGCAACACATGAACCCTTGTTTCAAACAGTTGACAGATTATTTGAGATCATATCC